ACTGGAGTCAGAGCTGGAGGACGATTCTGGCTCCTCAGTGAGGAGCTTGTAGAGAGACTTCGTGTCATGTTCAATTACCCCCATGAACTTGCTATCCGTGGGTGGTTGAACCATGCGCAGCGCCGTGAGGTGGCCAGCGGTCGCCGCAGCGTTGCGGAGACTGAACAAAAACACCGTCGGGGCGCTCCACACGTGACGCTCCAGAGAGAGGTGTCCCTCTCCGGAAGGTCGTGCCATGTCCTCGTCATTGGAAAGGGCGAGGCGACGCTGGCTCTCCCTGGACTGCTGGGGTCCAAGGGAGACGTCGAGCTAGCGCCCAAGCCTCTCGTGGTTGTGGCCGATGGAGGGGAGAGATTGGATGGCGGTGTACGCCCGTACCAACTCTCCTACCACCGTGATGATGAAATCTAGGCTCCCAAAGCGCACGTGTGCGCCTGGGACCCAGCTGATGTTGTGGTTAGCCATCCGTGGCCTGGTTTGGAAAGCGTAAAGGCCCCTACCTAGCGCGCCAACTGTCGGTGTTTCGAACAAGCACCGGCTAGTAAATTTATAATTCATGCGCGTTAGGCCCGGATGGTGCGCTAAAGGACACAAGGTTTATACTGGTTCGGGCTGAATGTCCCTATGTCCAGTCTATTGCTGCTTGTGTTATTAGCACCGGAAAAGGTTCATAGTAGGGGGTACAAACGGTCGAGAGAGGGACTGGTCCCAGGTCTCTGATGGAGGGGTCGAAAGGATGCCAAGAGCCTGGTGGCGGCCTGGCTGTGTGCGTGATGTGTCGAACCGAGCTCTCGGGGTCGGAGCGAGGCGGAGCCCAGCCCTCGGAGTTGGGTGAGGCGGAGTCTATACCTCGGGGGTCGGGGGAGGAAGAGTCTTACTTTCAGCCATCGATCGAGGTGAAGTCTGGCCCTGGACGTCGGGTAAGGCGGAGCCTAACCCTCAGCCCTCGAGCGAGGCGGAGCCGTCCTTCAGCCGTCGGGCGAGGCGGAGCTGGCCCACGGGCGTCGGGCGAGGCGGAACCAAACTCCCGTTGTTCGGGTGTCCTTCCGGGAGTTTTTAACGTTCGATGGTTATTAGTTCCACCACCTTGGGTACCCCGGTATTAGGTCCTCGACACTAAACCTCTGCCAAACCCACAGAATCTCCATCGATAGGAGGCCAGCGGGCCACCCAGGTTGGTCTCCGAAATGACCTAGGCATATGCCGGGTTGCAAGTAAAGGAGCAGTGGAATGTCACAAGAGGGCTATGCCGACCCCGTCATGAACGACGGACCCAAATTCCACTCGATCATACCCGTTAGCGAGCTCACTGAGCACGTCACTCGAGCCCGAGCGATCGAGGCAAGCGACAAAGCTCAGCCCCTTCGGTTGTGAGAAACCGAGGACGGGGTAACGCAGAAAATTCAAACCAACCCCTACCAAGCCCAACGGGGCTCAGGAGCTCAAGACACCTAAAAACTAACTACCTCGGCAGCGCGAACTACACCGACGCTAGGATCCACGAGCTTCACCTCACCCGATCCCTAAAACTAACTACATCGGCTACGCGGGCTGCACCGACGCTAGGATCCGCAAGCTCCATCTCACCCGATCCCTAAACTAACTGCCTCGGCTACGTGGGCTGCACCGACGCTAGGATCCTTTAGCTCCGCCTCGCCCGATCCCTAAAACTAACTGCCTCGGCTACGCGGGCTGCACCGACGCTAGGATCCACGAGCTCCACCTCGCCCGATCCCTAAACTAACTACCTCGGCTGCGCGGGCTGCACCAACGCCAGGATCCGCGAGCTCCGCCTCGCCCGATCCCTGAACTAACTGCCTCGGCTGCGTGGGCTGCACCGATGCCTAGATCCGTGAGCTCCGCCTCGCCCGATCTCGACTCTGTCTCAACTAAAATGCATGCACACACGTCCGCTGAGAAAACCCCCAGGCGATCCTGCCCGAATCGCCCGGGGGCTCGGGGGCTACACCGGCGGGTGCGCTCGCGCGCACCCACTGACAAAACAAAACCTCCCCCACTGGCAACACGAAAAACACCCCCAAACGATTCTGCCCGAATTGCCCAGGGGCTCGGGGGCTACACCCGCGAGTGCGCTCACGCGCACCCGCCGTCAAGACAAAAATCCCCCAGACGATTCTACCCGAATCGCCCGGGGGCTCGGGGGCTCCTATTAGGTTTATAAACCCAGGGTCCCTCATGGACCGGCTTCCCAGCAAAGGGTCGGCCCAGCAGACAATGTTGCAAACCAACGTGCAACTCTTGGGCCGGACCAAAAACCTAAACAGCAGGCCAGAAGGGCGATCCAATTTTTGACTAGAAGGCCTGGCCAAGGAGGAACGACGCCCCCTTCCGACTCTGGCCCCCTCTTAGACCGGAGCGCTCGCTTCGGTCTCCAGCCTGCCTCCAGATGGCCCCTCTGACCGGAAGGCCTGGCCAAGCCCCACTTTCGACTCTGACCCGCGTCTCCGACTGGGGATGCGCCAAACCCCTGCTCACTGCTCTTCTCCAACTAGCGCAAACAGGGCCGACTGGGACTAACCGACCGGGGACGCCCGCTCGGTAAGGACTAGGAAACAGACGGAGAAAGTAAGACAAGGGCACTCAAGTCAACCGCAATACAAGGAACGTACCCTATACACCTCCAAGACTGCACCCGGGAACCACCCGGCATGGCCAGAATCCAAGCAGTGTTGTAGGCGCCGACATTTCCCCTACAGTGTTGTGGGAGCCATCAACTGCCATACCAGACTAAAGTTGGCAACGGGTAGAAAATACCCGCAAACCCGCGGATATGAAACCCGATGGGCACGGATATGGGTCTAAGTATGTTCCCTTGAGAACGGGTATGGGCATGACCCTAAACCCAATGGATATTTGCTCGCAGGCGTGAAAAATGATATCCGCACCCATAAACCCACCAGACCCGCTCCAATACGACATGCATTTAGCTGTTAATGTGTGTAAGACTTATTTATTTGCTTGTTTAGAACTTTATCTAATAGTTTTTGTCTCTTGCCTGATGGTTCTTTAACGTGGTGAAAAACTAGAATTGAGAGTTCTATACTTGTATTTATGTGTTGCATATACATTGTATAAATGCTATGCGGGTACACGGGCATGCCGTGGGCATCGCTATCCATGGATAGCGGGCGCGAGGCGTGGTTTTTTGCCCGTGGCGGATAGCGGTGTGTAAACGCAGGCGTGGATTTTAGCTCGCGGATATGGATACGAACCTCATATCCGCGCGGATTTTACCCATTGCCATCTTTATACCAGACAAACATGGTAAGGCTCCCCCACATGCCTCTGGACATCAAACAGTGTTGTGGGCGGCGGCATTTACCGTACCAGGCGAACATGGTAAGACCCTTGCATGCCTCACGGGTATCAACGATTGTGCCATGCAATCGCGTCGCATATACGAAGAAGAAGGACGCAACATCCCACGTGCATCTGACGCTAAACAGTATTATGGGCGCCTACCATCATCTTGTACCCGTCGGCGTGGGCAGCAAAACTTAGTAGCCTACGTACTATCTCCCTCTTACTTGTAAGGCTATCACATTCATCTATAAAAGGGGATGCGCTCTCTCCCAACAGATAGATTCATTCAGATCGATCAGTTCACTTACATTGATTCACCCTATGTAACTTTAGACACTCTAAAGTTATACCGAGCACACGCTCGACCACTTAGCGCATAGCGGGGCTCCCGTCACTCTCGGTCCTTCAGACCAGAGTCCGACCGGACCTCTTGTACCCCCATCTTTCTCCTTCTCGTTTGTAACCCCACTGCAAACTTTGAGCATCTGAGCTCAGGAATAAAGTCACCGACCGACTCAAACTAAACGTAGCGCACGTTACGTGAACCAGTACAAACCCCGTGTTATTGAGTGCTAGGCCACCTATGATCACAACGTACGACAAAACTATAAATATTTACGTGTTGATTACTTTCTGCACCGACAATATGTGTGTTTATAATTCCAAATTTACAATTATTAATTAGATTAATCATGGATTCTTTGGTAAATTTTAAATCTAAACCGTTAAATTGTCACAAAATCTAATTATGTAGGTTGGTTTTCATTTTTTTTTATTAATGCGGTGATTTGTAGACCGGCGACCGTAATGACTTGTTTCAACACTATTGTAATAAGATGAAAGATAATAGACATGCCCGTCAATCAATATCATGCATGCATCTAAAATTCTGAACGTGCCAATAATCCAAGAAATGTGCCACTTGTAGGCACTTCCAAATCATGCACTGACTTGCTGAGTTCTCGGCACATAGAGGGTCCCGCGTGGGACATTGTTTGGGAGCTATAGCGGTCATGTTCGCTAGTCTTACGAGCTATATTTTTTCAACGAAGAAATAATATTTTTCTCTCACAATAAATTAACCAACATTACTTTTCAACGTGTCTTTTCAGCAAAATGAACCGGACCGGCGTCTGCATGCCCTTTGTCTCCTTGCATAGCATGGTGACTGCTCTCTCTCTCTCTGAAACTCATGGTGACTGATCTTTGGATGCCAAACTACGTGGGCCCACGGATGACAGGCCAAAATAAACGTGACCACTTAGACCACAATTAGCCTACAACCGGGATAAAGAGGTACAAGCTAATTTCTAAAAAAAACAACCGGGATAAAGATTCGATTTGTGTGGCCTCGCCAAACCGTACCCAAAAAAACCAAGGCGTACTTCGGGTCTAGTCCGGGTTTTTTCAGGCTTGGTTTTCGGTCTCCCGGTTTTTTCGGCTCACCTCTATATATCTCTTCTTGCTGTGTATCATCGTTGGTTAGTTTCTCCGTTCATATATACTGCTAGCTGGTTCGGAGTGGTATAGATAGATTTCACGGCGAGGATTACCCAGAATTAGACAGCAACAGAAGCAGTTCTCTTCTCCAGGCAATAAACTAGTTACATACGTATCACCAAAGAGTAGCTTCTTCGGCGCTACAACCAAAACGAAGTATCATTTAAATGCCACACATGGCCGCGCTCTGTTCTTCGGTTGCTTCCCGAGGCTTGGCACTTCAGACCGCCCTTGTGGTTTCTCCTCCTCCTCGCCGCCGCGGGACTCCAGTGATCTCCGTATCACCTCATGCTCACCGGCAAAGTCTTATCGGCTCAACGACGAATTCTTCAGGCACGAGCCCGATCAAAAGAAGTACACGGTAAAATGCATCTCTCTCTTAAACCTCATCACAGTGACACAGTCACAGATCCTAGGATATATGCACTATCTAGCACCATATATGTCCTTTCAAGACTCTGTGTTTTAGTATCTTGTTTCTTAGCATGCACACAGTAAGTTTCATGAACACATATAAAGTTTCGCTTGTTTTTGTTCAGAATTCGTGCAGTAGATCCAGCCTCTGCAAATTCGTCTGGCGGAAACCTCATAATCCCAATTCCCGACCTGCTTTCAGTTTTATCATGGTGTGTGACGAAAACAGATACTTGCTTGTTCATTTTTCAGATGCAGTTTCCAAATTTACTCGATCAATTTCCTTCTCGCGTTGCAAACCGGCCCACCATCTCCGCTTTGTCAGGCCCTGGATGTTTGGTGCGGCCATAGCTGCAGCAGTACCTCTCTACAGAAGGTTCAGAACATTAGAAGGTATATATAAACACGGAGACGACACAGTGTCCACCACTTTGTGACGAACGAAATCATCATCTTCTAGCATAGTATGCATATACTTTGCTGATTGCAAGTTTTGTGTAACAGATAACGTAGAGAAGGCGGCGGAGGCGGCGATCGAGGTGATCGACACGGTGGCGGAGGCGACCGAGAAGGTCGCCGACGAGGTTGCCGAAGCGTTCCCCGGCAATGAAACTCTGAAGCAGGCAGCCTCCAAGATTAAGGCGATCGCGGATGAGATCGAGGAAGATGCCGACAAAGCTGAGGCCCTAATTGAGAAGGTTAGTTTTACTACTTTTACCCAATTCCCATTATCACTGCAGCTGCTGGTAGTACGTGCTTCCATGATGGCTTGGTGGAGTAGTTTGGTACGATCATGGAGTACCAGTGGGGTCGTCGTTTTGACTATATATATGGCACATGTGAACATACAGCTACATTTATTTCGCCCGCCAAACTATTGTTTGACAAGCAGGCTCACAAACAAACAAAGGGCACTCGCTGCTCGTGAGCCCCCTTAAGCTATTCACCAGCAACTGCACAACGGCTACTGTGTTTATTCCACCTCCTAAACTTTAGTCGATGTCTCATCGATATTTGATATATATATGCAATATTAAATATAGACTAATTATAAAACTAAATACACAGATTGAGATTAATTTGCGAGACGAATTTTTAAAGCCTAATTAGTCAATGATTTGACAATGTGGTGCTACAGTAAACATGTGCTAATCATAGATTAATTATGCTTAATAAATTCGTGGATTATTGACATATTCTATAATTTATTTTTTTATTAGTATCCGAATACCCCATGCAACACCCCATGTGACATCCGATGAGACACCTTTTAAACTTTAATCCCTGCATCAAACGCCCCTTATTACTATTACTATTTTCCGTTGTCATTCTTCTTCCTACTCTAGGAGGATCCGTAAAGAGAAGAGATATTGAACAAAAAAAAGCTAAAGCTAAGCGAACAATTAATCCACTCGACCATGTAGACCAAATATGCATGCATATATTAGCAATAAATATATTTTTACAGTTTATCGACCGTGAAAAATGTTATCATAATATAACAATGATATTGAGAGTTTATTTTAAATTATATGAGACACTATGACAATAAGTTTAGTAAGTTGTTAGGGCAACTCTAAAAGACTCTCTATATTCTTCCTAATTGTTAAAAATAGAGATTTTGGTGAAAAAAAAATATCTTCGAACAGCTTATCTAAATGGATATCTAAATATAGCCATCATCCATTTTGAATTTCCATGAGCCAAAGATGGACAACGGGTTGACTCTCTAGAGTGCGATAAGATATAGAAAAGTTATTCAAGAGTGGAAAGATATGGAAAGCAATTTTATTCAAATGACTTTCCAAATGATGCATGATTTAGAGAATGACTGTAGAAAGACTTTTGGAGATGCCCTTAGTTTAGGTAAGTTTGTACATTTTCAATAAAAAAATTAAATATCAATATTGACAATTTAGTTTAAAACAATATATTTTCTTTATAAACAATACTACTACACATAAAATTCTTTGGTAAAGGAAGTTTAACATCTGGTGCTACGATGCATGCTGAAAACATGGTTTATGCCATTGTGGTAACTAATTGTGGAGACCTAGAATAGATTTTTAATAAAATATAAAAGACAAAAATGAATAAAGATATAATAAGAGAGTTTGAACTTAACATATGAATGAAAGACTTGCAACAACTAATAAGATCAAAAGGTACAAAAACAAATATAGATTTATGATGTCACAACAAGAGATAAAAATGTGATATATAACTTGAGATAATAAGTTTTTTGAAAAATACGCATTGAAACTCATGAGGTGCAATGCCAAGGATGAAATTACATATAGAGTAATTATTAAATTTATCACAAGCACAAATAAATTATTAATTAAGTATTCAAATGAGTATTGTGTTAGAAAATGAAGAGAGAGAGAGAGAGAGTAAAAAATAATCAATTTTGATTGGCTATATATGTTAAATTTATTTACATACCCTAAATTTATTTACAAACTTTTAATTTGATACCTACTCGTAACACCCCCGTCCAAAAATCGCTTATATGGCCCGACTTCAAGACGTGGGCAGGCTGGCCTGCATCTGTAGTAGCACCTCGCTTACACTTCGGTCCTCGCTTCGTTAAAAGGGTTAACACGGAGGTGCTCCATTTGGAACAACAAGGATTATAAGTTAGCCCTCACCCTCTAAACTTTCAAGGTGATTCTAAACCCACCCACCACAACCACATATGTATATATGACACTTGGGCCAACTTCACAACTACTGTAGGCTACTAATGGGCTAGGGTGTTACACTACTCCTTTCATTCCACATTATAAGTTATTTTAACTTTGTTAGAGAGTCCAAGCATCTCAAGTTTGATCAAAATTATAGAAAAAAATACAAGGATTTATGACATCAAATATGTATACTATAATAATATAATTAATGACGATTCTAATGGTACTTATTTGGTATCTTAAATATTATTATTTTATTATATAAATTTAATCAAACTTAAAATGCTTTGACTTTCTAAGAAAGTTAGAATAATTTATAATTTGAGATGGAGGGAGTATTACTCCGTATATAGCATAAGATTCTAGACCATTCTAAAACATGGATTGATAGACTAGTTCTGTATAAATAAAGAGGATAATTGTTTCACTTCGCTGACATTACTATTGGCAGGTTGACGAGATAAAGAAAGAGGTGGATTCAATTATCGATCCTCTAATCGACAAGGTCACGAAGACCAAATCCTAGAGAAGGAGACCATGCAACTGGAGGAGACAATAATGCAAATAAAACAGCCAGTGAATTAATTTAAGAAACAAACACTACTAGCTAGTTGGGCAGTATCCAGAGGAAACTGCGGAGGCAACATGACAAGTCTCGGTGTCATCGCCTATTTAATTATCTCATTCGATGCTTTCTAATCACGGCTTGTTCAGTTAAGTGACTCTTCTAGCTACGAACTCCTCCTATGAGACAGAGAGGACAAATTTCCTTGGATGTTTTAGGCCCTGTTTGGCAGGGCTTCTTTATCAGCTTTATGAGTCGTTTGGAGCTGTTTTCTGCCAAACGGGGTAAAATGAAATAGCTTTACTGATGAAGTCCCTAAAAACATGTTCTCACAGTGATTTGGGGTGGGATGGAGCCAAAAAAAGTGGCTTCTCCCGACTCCTTCTCCAGGCCCCTAAAAACATGCTCTCACAGAGAAGCCATTTTGCCAAATAATTTACCAAAAAAAAAATGGCTTCACTAGTGAAGTGAAGCTCTGTCAAACAGGGCCTTATTATTGTCAAGTGCTTATGTGCTTGTGCAGTTGTGCTTCTACGGTCACTGACATAAAAAAAAGGGGATTGGCAGGAACGAAAATCCCTAAAAATTTGGTCCGAATTTTTTAAAATTTGCACAATTTTTAACTAAAATTTGAAAATCTAAAACAAAATCATCCGAACAAATAAAAACAAAATTACCACTAGATATATTTACTAGAGGTCACTGATAGAGCTGAGAAATCTCGATCGAAATTCCGAACCATGGCTGCGACTAGCGTGAAACGGTAAATTGGTAAATCCTGCTCCTTGTCCTTCTCGTTCACGATGCCATCATCAATTTTACAATGGGCCCACGGATCATTCACCGACGCGTAGGGGCGTAGTGTGCACTCGTCGCCATCGGCCGTCGGTGCCTCTACGCAAGTGGCAACTGTAGACGACAAGGGATCACAAGTTGGCTTCTTATCATCTGCATAATATATGCTCTATTTGTTTGGCTGATAAGATCGGACTGAAAATACTGTTGGTTGATTTGTTAAGAAAAAAAAATAATATTCATTGACTGAAAGTATGGTTTATGAGACAAGTGAACGGGATGATAATCTGAAATTTTCTACGTACGTACTGTATGGCACTCCGTGCGTCTGGGCCACACGTGGATCCAACATATGTTTCCTGCGGTCTTATTTAGATACATGTGTATTCATTTTATTCTATATATGTTAGAATGGAACGAAATAAAATTTAGTTCAATTCTACCTCCGATATATTTCGACGTACGTGCGCATCCAACACCTACGAGATTTGGTTCCCGGCGTCGTCGTCGATCTCGATGTAGCATCGTGCAAAGCATGGCCACACGCACCACTGTCACTGTGATTCCGTACGTGGACGGCAGAACGCTCGGGCACGATCACCGGATGCTCGGGATCTCCCGAGAGGGGGCCGCACCACGTGATGGCAGTATGACGCACATGCATGGATCCCTTCCCTTGTGTGTGTTGTGTCCTTTTCTGTTCTTTTGTGATGAAAGTACGAGTAGCACTCACCTTAGTTTTGGATACATACATAAATTGATCTTCTCAAAATAGAAAAGCTCCGCGACAGATTCTCTAAAGTCAGTTCTATATTTTTTCTGTCATCAAGCTATTTCTCAAATTGATTGCAGTGCCTGTGTCTAATGACTATATTTCTGTCATCAGGCTTGTATTGTACTATTTACTATTGAACTGATGCGTCATCGCTTTGGAGTACACATCATTCAACACTCTCACGGCATCAAAAACATTATTTGAGCATTTGTTTAGTTGTTGGCTGCTGCACAGTTGAACTAAAGTAAAAAAAAAAACAAATCCTAGCACAATTGAACCAACTCCATTAACTGGTGGACTAAAGGGGCTAGTGAAATAGAGTGTGTTTGGATATCTATGGATTTTGGATTTTTGGATGTGGTTATCCACGCTACCTGTTTGATTGGATGAATAGAGTGAACAATTTTTCTGTTTGGTTAGATTAATAAGGATGAACAGGGTAGATATGGTCACCTCCTACCAAACTGATGATGGCACCCCTTCAAACGTGCACATCAGCTACAACATACTCCCTTCGTCCCTAAATGTAGTCGTTTTCGCTTCCCGAAAAACAACTTTGACTAAATATATATTTAAAAAATATTAATATTTATGATACATAGTTAGTATCATTGGATAGATATTTGAATCTAGTTTTTTAATAAATTTATTTAGAGATAGAAATGTTGCACGCATTTTCTATAAATCGAGTCAAAGTTATCGGCACGTAAATCGTGGCAACAAACATTTAGAGGCCGAGTGAGTATCATAGAACACATGATAACTTGATAGACACATGCACTGTGCAATCAAAATATAGTCATTATATAGCTTTAAAATAACATGGCTTAGAACTTGCACACATTAGCTACAAAATACATAAATAATAACCCACAATGCACTGTTTGATGGGGCATAAGCACATTTGCTACATAATATAAAATAACATGGTGCATTGTTTATGGGCTACAAGCAAAGTAGTTGTAGTACTCATGCCAATCTGTAGCAATTGCAAAAGAGTCGCTATAAAGTTATACCGACTGATGTAATGGTCGCGGTAAGTGGCGTCGCTATAAATCTATAGCGACTGACAGGGCCTATATCGATCGATAGTTGGATGCTATATTTATAGCGACCAATTATCTGTTACAAAGTTTTAGCGACCAAAGGTTTGAGGATATGAAACTTTTTACCAACCAATAATCTGTCGCTATGAACTGGTAATTATATAATTAATTTCACATTATACCATATAAGTTTAGGCTTGTTTAACATCCATACAAGTTCACAGTACACATCAACCACATACTCCCTCCATACCTGTAAAGCAAGTCGTTTAGGACATGATTGTGTTTACCAAGGAGTGATTAATTATGAGGTATTTTTCCCTGTTTGCCCTCATTAAATAGGGTTGCGCATATCCCCTAGACAACAAACGTTGGTAGCTGGATTGGTTAGGCTGCTGCGTCCCGAGGCCTGTGGGCAGGTTTCGAATCCCCTTGCTGACGCTTGTTTTTGCTTGAACGTGATTTTGCATGGCGATTAATGCGTAGTGAAGCGGAACGGGCGGCGAGCGCCAGGGGCAAACGCGTCCAAACACGACCCCGCGTGCGTACAACGACATGCTTTGCGAAAACGGGCCAAGAGCCCAGAACGACATGCTTTACGGGTACGGAGGGAGTAATTGTATAAACAGATCTCATATATTCATTGAAATCAACATTTGTACAATTGTACTTGGATAAATTATACAAGGCACCTACCACATAGGCACACAACCCATGAACTTCTAAAGAGTTCAGTATACACAAGACCAATCCTATATACCCTAGCAATCCAAAATCTACAGGCTAGAAACACATTTGAGCGCTCCACACCTTTTTGACCACTTCCATGAGAACTCTAAATAGCTTGTCGACACCATCAAGCATGCTGCTTACTGGCACCTCCCATAACTACATGCCTGAAATCCACATGCAACCCAATATAAGTATTCTGGTATTCAGCTAGGATCCAATAAGTAGACAGGTGCAGGTGCAGTAAATAATAGATCGTTTGACACTAATACTTGTTTTTAGCGACCGATTGTCCGAGGAAACAGCTAAATATATATACCGATCGATGCAGAGTCGGTACAAGAAAAAATAGCGATCGATGATCTGTTAGAAATTTATAGCGACCAATTGTTGGTTGTTAATAATCTGTTTTAGCGATCGTTGTCCGATGCTAATTGTTGGCTATGGTATAGTGCGTGCAACAAGGCACAAGAGTCATATCTTTAGTTTGCTGGAAAATTCTCACAGGTGAACTTTGCAGCCTAGTTTCACTTGTGAGCGAATGACAGATAACATAAAGCTCTAGCTTTGCTTGGATGGCCAACCAGATGCTCATGGTAAAATGACAAATGGGTGCCATCAAAGCCTAGAAGACTACAAACAACATCATCATGCATACCTTTGAGAAGTTCATCGCCTACTCCATCCTTCTGTATGGCACAAGAGAGTCCTTCACCAACATCTTCCATTGCATGTAGCAGTCCATCTTCCCTTTCCCTTTCAATTGTCTTTCATTTTCATCATTAGCAGCAGCATTAGTATTATTACCATCACGACTATCTTTTAGCTTGTTCATTTTCACCAATTCTAGTTGCTAGAGGTTCATTTGACCCCTTTGCATACTTCCATGTGGACATAGTAGCAACAAAGGTAGTAGCCATCTCACCATAATGCTCAATAATAGGCTTGTTTAAAAATTCAGCATCAGATTTATGGTCCTTGCAATAAATACACAAACTATTTGACCAACTAGTAGGCAAACTGGGAGACAACTAGTAAGCAAACTAGGCGAACTAGAAGACAATATTACAATAAGACTTATGGCAACAAGGATACTACAATGTAGCTTGTATAAAGCACATGATCAAGTAAATCACAAAGTTGACTTCATCCCAAAGAGCAACACTCAAGCTCCTGAGTTTGTTGATCTTCACATACTTTCTTTTCCATGTTCTAAGATGGTTATTCATAGCTTTAGCACAAGAGTTCAGATGTGTTTTCTTGAAATTTGATGATGTTTTGCCAGTGTCCACCACATTGGTTTGGCTGCTCACTCCCTGTTTTTGGGGAGCATTCCACACGACTGCTCACTCCCTGTTCCCAATGGTTCGACTACATCCTGGTGGTTGGCACAAGGCAAATGGGAATGAGTACACGAGTTCCTATTTGCACTGCATTAGCTTTTGATCGACTAGAATGAACAAAAATTGGTCATGGCTGGCCCAAGTAACAATGCCATTAGTGCCCTAAGCACTAGTCCCACTAAAGGGTACATCCTAGTTTTTATCTTTGTTCATATGATCAATATATTAGCATGTATGTGGCGACTGCTAGTAGATCACACATCCACATAATTG